TAATAATAGTATAACCACTGTTCACCATACCAGTAGTTTTACTGTTTATTCAGTTTGTATGTAACCTGAGAAGCGTGACACACTTTGACCCCTTTGTCTGCCGTCTCAGGGTCAGTTACATTTGTGCATTTAAAAGCAGCGTTTCTGACTGAATTTGATTGATTTGAACAAAATGGTGACAAGTAAATTCACTTGCAGAGTCAAAGTAAACTAGCATTGTGTGTTGGTGAGTGTGCACATGCACATGCATGCTGTTAACCAACTGCAAACCATCTTCACATCTCTACTCTCCCAGAGGATAAGTGGCTCCACATATGAGACGTTTCACATGAGTGACGGTATGAATTTCATAACCAGGAGCTCTGTTCCAAAACCCCATTGGGTGTCTGTTCATATGCAAGTTTTGAAATTATTGCTCAAATTTGCTTAATGAAATGAAATGGGTCAGAATTGTACAATTTCTAATTAATCTCAATGACTCTAACAAAAGCTATTAAAAGTAGAGTGCCATGCTCATGACACCTGAGCAGATCTGTACTGGCTAGAGATGGCTGAGAGATGGTGGAGTAATGCAGTCAGTGCTGCTCCCTGCTAGTATGTTGTCTGTGTGACTACAACAAATCAGCCTGAATTACCTGAACTTGTCTGTTTTTATTACTCCAGCCTGAAGGCTTTGACTGTGTTAACACCAAAAACTTCACCAACAATCTAAAACAATGAACCTAAAACAGGAAAACAAACGTTTGTCATAGTATTGTCACAAAACCCCTCAGTTTTTTGTCTCTGTTTCTTTGGCTTTTTTAGTTAGTAACAATGTTTTAAGTAGTTTAAGTTACAGATTACATGGTCTCCGTCCTTTTGTCCTTTGACTGTGTGGCGATTTGAGTATGTGGAGGAAACGGCTGTTAAAATGATGCAGGTTGACAGAATGGAGAACGATTCTTCAGAAAAATGACTACAGAGAAGAGTGAACCTTCAGAATGAAAGGAGGGGTGGAGGGAGGGCAATGAACAATCAGGCTGAGAGTGGAGAGAGAGATCACATTTAATCATCTGTTTGCAGATTCGCCTGCTGGCTCTTCCCACATTCATGAAACGACCTCAGCTGTGTAGCTACACTGATCTGCTGCTTTTTAAATGACTGGCGTTTCCACTCGCACCAACGTTTTGATACGAAGAGCATCAGTAGAACGGGGTACAGTCTGTTTAGATTAAACATAAGGTGACTGACCAGAACACAGGTAGATTGTTATATGAGAGTGAAGCTGGACGCCACATGTTTATGTCCAGCATGTGCTAGTGGCTTATTGAGCAGGATGCTCTTCATAATACAGCTCTCAGAATTGGTACCAGTCGGTTGATTTTGTCCTGCCTAAGCTAACTGCACACAGCTCATCAGTCAGTGTGACACTTAATGACTGGAAAGAGCCAAAACATCAGAACTGTGTAAATGGTGAGATACTACATGTCCTTCATTGGAAGACCACTGTGCACGGGCAAAATAGTGATAGTAATTTGTTGGCAATTACTTGATTGTCTAATGTTTTAATTAAATTCCACCCTGGAGGCAAGAAAACAGGGCTGCACTTGACCAGAGCAGCCATTGTGTTGTGGGTATGGCGTCATAACATCAGACACCGTGTCTGCAATTTAATTACTGTTATTGTGTTAACGAGTGCATTGTAACGTTAGATGGCTGGAGGGGACGGAGACAAAGTGGGTGTCAAGTAGAACGTTTTACAAAGCACTTGGAACAGTCAGTTCCATGTTAATGCACTTTACAGGCTGCACTGTTGTCAAAATGCCAGAAAACACGCAGAAGCCTGGGGATTTTCATTTGATAGTCACATGGTAGAATGTCGGTTTTGTTTCAGCCACTTTGGCCACAGGGGATAAAAAACTGTACATGTCAATGAGCTTGTTAGACAGGATGTAAATGCTTTGCTTTTGCTGTTAGTTACTTTGACAACACTGCAGTATATAAGAGTCCGTCGGCCACATCAAACCACCTTTATCACACCTTTATACATTCAAGCAACAAACCTCCTAGTGGCCATTGGAGCAAAGGAAGGCGACAAAATGTCCAGCTTTACTACAGGAGACTGCTGTTTGTTTCCTCCCAACTGCCAGTCAGAGTTTTTTTTACCCACAGCAGTGAGGTTTTCCTAAGATCAGCCAAGTAGCTGCAGTATTTTAACACAACCCAGACTCTTTGCTGGAGCCCAGAGTCGTTCTGCACTGCAGAGACCGACCACCAGTTTTATCATTTAGTTTGGAGGGCTTGTTGCTGTACAGTGCTGGCTCCGCATATGCAGAAAAGCCTTCTCACCACAGCCAGCTGTCCCTTCTCCTTACTGGACAGTCTTGACTGGTGTGGTGCCTTTGCTGTATTTGCCTTTGTGTTTAACCCCCTCTCTTCAATCCACAGTCCCCTCTCCCTTTTTTTAAATCTGTCCTCTTACCTGACTGTGGAGATTTTTAAAGTACAGTCAGCACAAAGACGGGCTGTGCCCTCCATTTTAACATCATTATGCCCAATTTGATGGCTTGTCCTTCAGAGGAGTTCAGAGTGGTGCACAGGTGTGGGAACAGCAGCTGCTCTGAGCTTGAATTATCAGCAAAATCGGTTTATTTCTAGCATCTTTATACAGCAGTATGCTATTGTATGCTATTTCTGTTTATGCAGCCAGTTTCCCCAGTCCACCAAATATCTATGTTAAATGCATTTTAATTTGGTTTACTCTACGTAGCAGCGTCAGCGTGTCACTGTCCAACATCAGTTTTGTGTAGTTGTGCATTGTTGCACAGCCCTGCCGCCCGTAGAACTGCATCTTTAAAGGTTTTATAAAAACATCCAAAACTCCCTTTTTCATGAAACAGTTTTCAGCCTCCTCTGTGTTCAGCCCCAGCCTTTCCTGCAGCCATGCAGAACAAAGTTGTAGCAGCAGATATGAGCATGTGCATATTGTGTGCCTTCACTTTCCAGACGTGCACTAAATGTAGCGTAATTATCCCAGCATCAGGCAGTTCCTCATGTACTCGACTGTGGCTGCGATTACTTGTATAAGATGTGCACCGTTAGTAGTAAAGAGTTCGCAGCTGCCGACTTTTCACTACTTCGGTCTCTGACATGGTGACTCACAGTGAGGATCTCTGTGATCTGTAACTCTTCCTCCATCTTCACTTATTTTACATTTCTCTCCCTCATCCTTCTTCCACTCAGCTGAATGTACCTGTTCAGCTTATTTGAAAAAAGTTAACTTAAATTTAGTTTCTGTATACAGTTTAAGAATCTCCTTTTTCTAAATGTATTCAAGAAGCAAAACTCCTATAAAATGTCACAGGATGAGCTGCTCCAGGCTGGAGGATATAGTCCATGTATCATCATTTCATTCAATTATTCCAATTCTTTGTTTGTACGTGTTTAAAAAAAACAACTAAGAGAGAAAATGACTGCGTGCATGTTTTAGTCTGCAACAGGTAATCAGAGAAAACGAGTCTTATTACTGTTCCTTTGTTATTTATCTGTGTGCCACTGATCTCCAGCAGGTGCAGACTGAACTGCAGCCTTCACACACCTCGTATGAGTCAGTGGGAATATTTTTAACGTAGTTAGATGTTAAGGTTTATGTTAAGGAGTTTGAAACAAAGCCTTATTACTGAGCTGGGTCACTGATGGCAGGCGGGGCCTGGTGGGAACACAGACTCACACAAGCAGCATTTCCTGCAAATAGAAACAATGTTTTTAGATGCAAAGTGTTTTAAGCAGCTGTATTGTGGTACAGATGTGTCCAATATGTCATTTTATGACACACTAAAGCACCTGCTTCACTAATAAACTTTGATTTGACATGTTTACATCACACGGCGGCATCGTCAGAGGAGCTTCATTTGTAATTAATTAGCAGTGAGGTCGTCGGCACTACACCCTGAGTCATTTGTCTCAGAAAGAGCCCAGTACTGGTCATCCTGCCCTGTGTCAGTGGTGGAGGGGGGTCACACAGGCAACAGATCCACACTACAGGGGGGTACATTCAGTGGGTGTTGTGTCAGTTCTATATACTAAACCCTACGTGTTACTACTTCACATACACACATGGTTTTGTTAGCAGTGAAGCTGATACTTGTCCTTGTTGTCGTTCATTATTATTTCTGTTTATTCTTATGAATCCAACACAGAACACAGGCCATCTGTCATCAATGGACAGTAAAGGTAAATACCATAAATACAACCACCCAGGAGAATTAATTTAAAAGTCTGATAGTTTTCCACTTGTTTGCTCCGTGCGCTCCCACGAGGTGCTCCAGCTGTCACAAGATGTGGTTTCGACATAGAACTTCACATGAGCCTCTAAGCAAGTTGAACCAGTCTACAAACCAGGAAAAACTGGAGAGTAGAACTAGAACCAGAGAAAAGAAAACTAAAGTAATAACTAACAAAACACACTCATACCAGCAGACTTGGCTAAACAGAACTTGAACTCACATAGATGACCCACTACATTCAGACAGTGTGTGAACCTGAGAGACATGACTCTGATCGGGTATCTCGAGTCCCTCCATAAAGGCACAGACTGTTTGCCGCAAGCTATTGGAAGATGGTTCTTAAGATGGCGTTAGGTGATTCACAATGCAGGGAACACGGATATGAACATGACAGTAGGAGTGGATCTCAGGACACTCGTCCACATGGAGCGCCTCTGAGACAGTGTGGTGGTCAGAGAACAGGAGCTGCAGGCTGCAGGTTAATGAGACAGAGGGGAGTCTGAGCAGGACTGATAACAAGCTGAAACAGACAGGAAGGAGGAGGTATAACAAAATAAGAGCGTGGATTCATGGCGCCAACGCTCACAAAACGGGACAAATACGACTTGTCTTTTTCTTGTTTATTTAATTACACATCTGAGTCTAAAAACAGACAACACCCCCCCCCCCCCTCTCTATGCCCATCCAAAAAAAAAATAAAATTCTGATCTTTTATTTTTTGTGTTTGTTTTCCAGATTGCTTCCAGAGTGTGAATGGACAACATGTGAACCAAATGGAGCCAGATGGAGGTAAAACAGCTCTCACCCTGATTATAACATAACCTGCAGCAGTTTTCAGCTTTTATTGACGGTTTATAACCCAGAAACAAACTTATCAAGTCGTTTGGTAACAATAAAGAAACTTTTGCCAAATCTCAACCACGTCAACAATATAACATAAAATAAACCACATCCTTATGTTGTACAGGATTGTATGTTCTGTACCAGACACTTTTCAAGCCAGTGTTCAACTTCCCTTCTTTATTTAGGAACAATGGGCCACAAGTAGTGAAGACGAACTCCAATCAGAGACTGCTTTTCAGGTTTGTACCTCTCCAGCGGCACAGCTCAATCTCCATACTGGTCCATTTTGTTCCACAGTACAGATGAGATTTCCCATATGTATTCATTTTGTGCCCAACTCCACAGAAACCCAGCAGACGTGAAGGAGAGTGGAGCTGATGGATTGCAATCTGGGCCACGCATGACTTAGCATCTCGTTAGCTGCTCCCGCTAGCAGAGTCGCTGGAACAGACAGGTAAGTGAGCTGACTGTTTCTGTTCAGGTCACAGCTTTTTTTGGAGGCGACTGGTTTTAAAATCTTCAGTAGTAACACATGATGTGCTCCACTTTTTATGCCAGTTCATTGTGTAGTACACATCACACTGACAGGGTGAATCAACTTCATCACTGTGGAGCTGGTCACACGTACACAAGCCTGATTTGCACAATACAACAAGGTAGAAATACTGTGTGACAGCCCATCATTGAAAATCCTACTTTAGTTAATAGTATCATTATTATTATTATGTATCAAAGTAAAAGTAGCACTTTAATGTTGCAGCTGTGAGAATAATTTGAAGTTCCTCATACTGCACTGATCTAAATCTCTAAAGTAACTAGTAAACAAAACAAACAGTGGCTGCTAGTTTGGGAGAAACATCAGTCCTAAACAAACCAACACTTCCAACTTTGGGTATCGGTTCAGATTCATCATTTTATATGCTCCCCACTCTTCTGTGTGCTGAACTAACTTGTTAACAAATGTGCCCACAGAGTGGATTTAGAGAGTTCCAGATGTGTATGACATTTGTCAGTAGTCGGTCATGGGGCTGTCCAAAAACAAACCAACCAACCCTTTGGCCTCGGAAGCATTATCCGCATAGACCATCATTACAAAATGCACACCTGCAAATCTTGTGCCAGGATCGTAGACGGGCTCTGTAGGACGTTTAATATTTGCAAACTTTACTCAGAACTCAGGAAATCAAATAAATTATTTATATAGAACTTTAAGAACAACACCTTGAAAATAGGATCATTGACTTAGACAAATGCATCTCCTGAAAATAATGCGTGTGGATGCCGATTGCTGAAGAATTGCTCTGAAAATGCTAAAATGGCTGAAATAGCTGAAGGCTGTGACGCAATGCTGAATAATTATGGAAGATGAAATGAAAAACTGAAGTTGGGAATTTAACTTTATTATCTGAAGGTGAGAGCTTGAGAACATCCCTCAAACAGTGGAAGGCCTCATCTGAAAGAGAGGTAGAAATTAAATGTCTTAAAGTTCTAAAAGAATAAATAAGTTTTACTGACATCTGATGGATATATTATGAAGGCAAACCAACCTCTGTGTGTGTCACTGTGCCTCTGTGTGTGTTATTGTGTGTCACTGTGTATATTTGGGTGTTTATTTTGTGTGTGTTACTCTGTTGCTGTCTGTGTGTGTCTTACTGTGTGACCGTTTGTGTGGTGCCATGTTAATTTTAATGTTTCTGTTTTAAGCCTATCAAACAGGTAGCATAGCTTGGTGGTTAACACCACTGACTTTGGTGCGGCAGGTCGGGGTTCACTTCCTGGTCAGGCTCTTAGCAGGGAGATGCTTTCCATCAGACCAATCACCCCCTTTTCCTTGAATAAGATGCGTCAACCAAAAGCAGAGACCAGTAAAAGTTTAACACCACTGACTTTGGTGCAGCAGGTCTCTGTTCAGTTACCTCTCAGGGCGTGAATTCCAGCTGTGGATCCTTAGGCAAGGCCCTTAATGCCAACCGCCTAGTGAGGTACAACACTAATGCTACTGCAAGGGGGGAGCCAGGACATCAGGGGGGAGATACCATCCTCCCCGACAATTGGAGATTGAAGATCACAAAATTTTCCGACAATCTATTCTAGGCTGTAAAGAGCTGATAGGCTAAGATAGGACAGGCCGTGGCTTAGTGGGGTGCCTCCTGAAATGAGCACAGAGGCACGTTGCCGAAACGGCGTTAAGGTGAGACCTGTAAGATGAGGTGAAAATTCACTCAGAGCTTTTTACTCTGTGTGCTGTGTGTCTATACATTATATGTATCTATGTGGCTCCAGCTTGCTGGTTCAGGATTCAAACGAGTAAAAAAGCCAGTCAGATTAATTCATCAAAACATCAAAACTCTGTGGCTAAGTGAATCCTGCATGAAGGAGCCTCCTGAAACCAGCATGGTGGCAACACGGAGCCTCTCCTGAAAAATATGCCTTACTATAGCATGTGGTGAACATGGGGTCTGACCCTCTGAACCCAGGGCAGTCTTGCTGCGAGATGACGGTGCTTGTTTTATCTTGGGCTTCCTAATTCTACTTTTGTGCAGTACCCCTGGGTCTTATATAGACACCCTCTGGCTTTGCCTTTAGTGTGTACTTGGACGCTTTGTGTGATTTTTGCGGTCTCTGTGTGTGTCTGTGTAGGTGCTTGCTTTCTGTGGATGTCTGTGTGATGTGTGTTGGTGCCTTATGTTTGCCTCAAGTGTACATTTTTTCGACGTGCGTGCTTGCATTAGCTCAGCCAGCCCAAAGCCGAGCTGACAGACAGCTTTCCTCTGAGGAGCCCGAGCCCCTTAGTGTTTCTGATTGATCGTCATAATGCTGAGGTGCAGGCCCTGTCCTTGGTGCCTATGCTAATCGCAGGCTCATGCATATTTATGAGCTCCTTGGGAATCAACCGGCTAAATAAAGGATGAGGCTGCTGGCTTGGAGCTGCGTTCATCACTGACTCTGATTGATTAGAACGAGAAGAAAAAAAATCAGTTTACGGAGACCTCTAATTTTTTTTTTTAATTATTTCCTCTCCTGAGCTCAATCATAATAGGAGGTCGTGACTTGTAGAGGAGCAAACAACACTCCAGATTAAATGGTAGTTAGTTTCCTCTGCATGCCTGTCATTCTCTGCCTTGGTGTTTCTCATCACTGGTTGAAATGCTGGCTTCTTAGTTTCACTAGAATCCAGTGGTGTCAGGAATTAAAATGACATTTCAGACTGTATTTTATATTTAAAACAAACTGCGTGCTAAAGCCCCTGAGAGTGGGTTTGAGTTGCTTTAGCGATGTAAAGATGCTGGTCTGTTTCTGTTGTTCATGTCCTTTTACTTTGGAATAGTCTCCCAGTCACTAGTTATTGTTCAGGACCTATTCCTAATATTAAATCATTTGTTTTTTTGTGTTTGTTTAAATTGATATTTTATTTACTGTTCTTTTGTCTGTTACCCTGCCTGGTTTGACATCTTGTGCTTTCCTTGCTTTTATTATGAGACATTTTGTAGTTTGTAAATTGCCCTATATAGTTTTACTTATTACATTCTGTATTAAAACAAGGCCATAAACATACTGATTGACCTCTTCTTTTTCTTATGCCCTCCTAAGCTGATGAACCATTCTGCCATCCCGTGTCACCATTCATGTCCTGCATCGTCCTGAGATCCATGGTGGAAACCTACCCAGTGGTCTCTTTAGCTTTGTTGCTAGCTAAAAACAAGGTAAGCAATTGCGTCCAAAACACTCGTTCACCATGACACCTCGTGCTTGCACTGGCAGAAGCACATGTATGGAGAGTTAGTGTAGTCGTTAGATCTTAAAGCAGTAGCCTCCTGCACAGACGTAGCAGATCACGGCTGGGTCTGGATCCAGTATCCAGTCTTGTATTTTAAAGCCTGAGACTGTTTAGGGCCCAGTGTGCAAAGTGTCTAGTGCGGCACTGAAGGCATCAAGAACTGTTGTATTTTAGTTTTTAGAGCCAAAAACTTGTAGACGAGTGCACTCGTATTTGCCAAATCATCCAGAAAGACAGACAGTAAAAACATCTGGTGAGTTCATATCACTCACCTCTGTTTAGGAATTGGTTTGTGTGTTGCACGTTAGCTTAAAATACTTACTTTGTGACAGAGATTTTCAGCTCCAGTAACACCAGAATTAATACAAGCTGTTTCAGTGCAACATGTAGGCAGAGTGTAACTATCATAAACTCAGCTGGTGATTAAGCCAAAATATGCATTTGTATATTCTACTATATTCACACAGACCTAAGAGCTAGGATCCCAGAAATATGTTTTGCTCCGTCTAAGATACTGTACCTCACAGATACATGTTTTAAAGAGACAGATGAGATCACAGTCAACATTTTGGTCCCTTTTATTTCATGTTAACCACATTTCAAACAACTAAACAACCAATGGTAATGGCATCATCAGCTCTAAACAACACTTGACAAATAATCAGCGGAATAATTATACAAAGAAATGTACAAATTCAGGACAAAAAGAAAAAAAACAATCAAAATATAATACAGATGAACAGCCATGAACCAAGCCAATCAAACAAAGCCTTAGTGGAAATCAAAAGCACAAACATTTCTGGCATTCACACCGTCTTCAATACAACTGTTTTTGTCTTGATAGGTCCAGCGCGGAGCCCAACTGGACTAAAGGTAAGCACAGAATGAACATTTTGACACAAATATACCGGTTCTGAGAAAATCAGCTAGTGAAAAGTTCACCAGAGTCCGAACGTTCCCTCTGTCAAATGTAAAGTATCACCTCCAAACTGGGCTAATTCACTGCCTCAAGATACCGACACCTGCTGGAATCAGTCAATGACTGACATAACATGTAATCACATAGTCGGTTAAAGTCCGTTTTGAAACATTTATTTTGTAAAGATTGGCTTACACAATTGTTCTCTTCGATAGCTTCAATGATTCCTACCTGAAAATGAAGCCCTTAAGCTGGTGCCTAGCTCTGTTATCGGGTACATCCCAAATCCCTTATACAGCACTCCTCGACCAGGAGGCAGGAGCAAGGATACACAAGAGCATCCTTTGTGGAAGTCTTTTATGAATCGATAGGCCCCTTTATCAGAAATCAGCTGTGACTCCTTTGTCACATGAAACAAAGAACAGCTTATAGATGTGAGCTAAATCAGGGAAACAAGCCTTTGTGATTAGATTGTCTGATTTTGATTTGAAAGGGTTACTTTAAGACTTGTCTGATAGCAGTATACACTCAGTTGGCGGTTTATTAGGTACAGCGAGTGGAAACCAGTGCATTGTGTATGATCATGCTGGGAGATGTAGTTTGTGATACTGTTGAACTGTACGGCATCAGACTGACGGGGTTTTTTTTTGTCTGTCCTGTTGATATCAACGACAGAAACACCTCTGTATGATGCAGTACAGTTCAACAGCAGCACAAGCTACAGCCTCTAAAACCATCTGAGTTGGATCAGCACCTCTTTGGAACAGTGTGAACATCATCACCTTCACAAAGGAGGGTCTATTGCTGGACACTGCATTTTAGCATTGTGTATCTAATAAAGAGCCAACTGAGTGTATCCTTGCAACAGTACTAGAGAAAACAATGTGTGCACAGCTGTTAAGTTTTCCAGTGCTTTGCTTGCGGTGTGTACAAAGGGCAGGGACTTAATCAACGCGAGCTTATGACCCGCGCTTACTGGGAATTCCTCGTTCATGGGAAATAATTGCAATCCCCAATCCCTATCACGAGTGGGGTTCAGCGGGTTACCCACGCCTCTCGGCGAAGGGTAGACACACGCTGATCCACTCAGTGTGGCGCGTGTGCAGCCCTGGACATCTAAGGGCATCACAGACCTGTTATTGCTCAATCTCGTGTGGCTGAACGCCACTTGTCCCTCTAAGAAGTTGGACGCAGACCGCACGGGGCCGCGTAATGCTGCTCAGCTAAGCCGATAATGTCACAACAGCCGCCTCAGGACGATAAAAGTCCGGGCAGCATGCGTTTACTTAAATCTCCACAGCTTTCGGGTTCCAAATCTTATTTCTTTAAATAGGAGGATGTTTGTACTGTTTCATGGAGGAAAACAAAGTCAGTTTTCACAGCCCGAGTCCAAATCATCCAAACAAGATACAATTATAACTTTAAAGCATATTAAACCACTAGGCAAAAAATGGAACTGACTTTCTTCATTTATGTGCAATTCAGCTCGATCCAAACAGCCAGGTTCGTTCTTAAACTCCCCACTGTGAGTCAATGTGTATGTGGGTGTCAGCTGATGTGCCAGATGAACAAATAAACATCTCGTCTAAAGCGACAGTTTGTAGGACGGTAACATAAGACTGTGTTCAAAACGATAATCACTAAGCTGCACACACCTTTTAGGGGCAATAGTGGTTTGAAATGAGAACCTGTATTTGTGTCTGGTGCATGATGTTTGTCTGTTTGTTTGACTGTGGTTGTCTTTTCTTATTTACAGTCAGGGTGGATGCACACTCTTCAGATTCTGACAAGCCCGAAAACAGACGTAGAGCAGAGCAACAACATTTGGTCTCAATGACAAGGTAGGACGTTTTCTTTTTTGACCAATGCTGCTGTTCTTCTTTCTCGCGCACGTGGCTCCACCCGGCTCGTGATGTGGAGGCAGAGCGCATACTCTGAAACCATGCCCACCGAGGAGGAAAACAACAACTCACTCCATTGACTTTGTATTACATGAAGGTGCCTCTGACAATTCTGTCTCATTACAAAAACTGACAAATGCCTTCTCAAAGCAGCTGTGTGGTAGGACGCACAGCCGACGGTCAGAGTAGTAGGACGCACAGCCGACGGGCAGAGAAGTTTAAAAACTGCCAAACAAAACCCCCCGAAGCTTTAGGACGTGGGTCATTAGCAGGAGGAACGGGGATCCTGATGCTCGTTATGTCTACGTGTGCAGTGGCAGAAGCAGCACTCACCATGGTTACGTAAGTAGTAATGCTGCAGTGTAAAAATACTCTGTTACAAGTAAAAGCCCTGCATTCATAATGTTGCTTAAATACAAGAGTATTAACGTAAAAGTACGCATTATGCAGAATGGTACGGTTCACAATGTAAATTATATTATATTTACTGATGCATTACTGTGTACATCACTTGAAGTTGGAGCCAGTTGCAAGTACCTTTAAGGTATAATTTGAAGTACCTTTACATACTGCTGGGTAGCTTGTCAATTTTACAGTGACGATCAACAAAGCACTACCTTTAAGCGAAAAATATTGTAAAGTCGTACTCAAGCACAGATGTGGCCGAATTGTATGTACGTTCAGTACAAAAAGAAAAATGTACTTAGTTACTTTGGTACGTTTGCAGATGCCTTAACTAACTACAGTAGCATACACAGCACAGCGGAGGAAAATTAGCATTAAAGTTTACTTCCAAAGCAGAGCCGGATCTAGAGGAAAGTTGGAGTGCAGCTGATGACTAACAATGTTCAGACAAGTTAGCGGTTAGAATGTTGGCAAACTACTGTAGTTAGCTAAGGCATTAGCATAGCAACAAGTCAGACACTGTCAAAATGCTTTAGCATAGCTCACAGAAAAACTTAAACTGACATTTGGAACTTTGACTTAACAGTGACAAATGCTTGTCGCACACAGAGGCACCCCCCCATTATTCCTGCTAATGCCAAGTTTGTCTTCTTAACACTCTGGTGTTTTTGTTAGTGTTTAAAACTGCACCTCTGGGTTCCTCTCCTTATTGGTAGTGCAGCTGCTTTTAGGCATTTTTCAGTTTTCTGTAAAAAGACCAAAATGTCAGAGGTGCCTTCACTCAGTACAAAGTCAGTGGAGATGAATCGTTTTCTGCCCCCGGTGTGGGTGTGGTCTAAACACGCTCCGTCTCTGTGTTACTTCTTCCTGTTTTAACAACAATCGTACAATTTGTCCTGATACTTGTCAGTCATAACGTAACCATGCTGAGTATTTTTGTAGCAAGTTGCTGGATCACCACTACTAGCTGGAATTTAACACTGAGCACAAAGCCACAAGGAAATGTATCGGCTTGTGGTTTCAGAGAAAAATGCCAGAAACATTCCAAGTGTTTTGATCCAGCAAACTGAATTATCAACAACATTGACAACTGGATAAAACTCAGCCAAACACTTTTCTATAAAGACTCTGTGTGGGTAAATAGTGGAGTTCAAACTGCAGAGCTGAGGCTTAACCTCGGATAAAACGTTCCAAAAAATCTCCAAGTGTGCATCCAAGCTTCAGAGGGAGACAACATTCAAGGCGTAGAATATGTCTAAAAAGGAGATACTGTACAGTCGTCACATCACAGCCCAGAGGACAGAGAGAGAGAGACGAGAAAGTGGCGCTTTGTTAAACATCTGCTTTTGTTTCAACGTGTCATTTCTTCTTTTTTTCTTTGTACAAGCAAGTCAAGTCCCAAGTTTCGCTGAACATACATACACACATGAAAATCACCAGTGTGTTTGTTGCTTTTTTTCCCCTCTATTGTACAGGGTGTTTGTGTGTGTGTTGCACAGGCACACATATACACTGATCAGGCATAACATTATGACCCCCTGTACATCTGTCTGCACCTCAGTGCAACACTTCCACCTTAATATCTGTGTTTATGAAGCTTATGTTTCAATTTTTGGCGAGATTGTCGTGAATGTACAAATTCAATGATACGTTCATTATTGAGGTCGTAGTTAAAGGTGGTGTTGTACCGGATGACATTATAGTCAGAGGTGTCTGTATATTTTTGTCAGACACCTCTGACTATAATGTCATCCGGTACAACACCACCTTTAACTACGACCTCAATAATGAACGTATCATTGAATTTGTACATTCACGACAATCTCGCCAAAAATTGAAACATAAGCTTCATAAACACAGATATTAAGGTGGAAGTGTTGCACTGAGGTGCAGACAGATGTACAGGGGGTCATAATGTTATGCCTGATCAGTGTAGATACACATGTACAATCATGCCCTCTGTTACTCACACACTCAAACAGACACACATGCTCACAGGTTGGGAACGGGCCAGCACAAAGCAGTAATGCCCTCTGTGTGTCCCAGTGTTGAGTTGGAAATGACAGGCAGCATCAACGGCGAATCAGAAAGAGCTGAGCGCCTCCAGAGCCACTTCATAGCAGAACTTGTACTGCTCCTGTGGAGGGATGAACAGAACACAAAGTAAAAATCAGACTAATAAGGTCAGGAAGCACTTTCTTCAATGAATGTGACAAATTGGAGGATCTTATCTTATGAGATAATGCAGGGGTTGGAACACTGTAGCACTTGCCTGAAAATCATCAGGACTTAATGAATTCTTAACCATCATTGTAATTCTGTGACAGTTGTCAGTACATCCAATAGTGCATAGTAACTGTTAATAGCTAATTCGACACACTTAGTGTTCCAAAATGTAAACAAATACAGGCTACAAACAGACCTCAAAGTTGCTGCCTACAGTCCATCTCACCTACATGTACTGAGCAGCTTCAGAACCTGTTTGAGAAACACTGTGCTTTTAAGATTCATTGAGTAGCAACCTAATGCTGTCAGTACATACAGTAGCACAGAGCAAAAATGAACTGACGACAGTTAATTCGCCTACTTAGTGGTCCAAAACGTAAACAAATGTAGGTTAAAAATGGCGCCCAAGTGGTCTACAGTAAAAACATATCTATGCCAGCATTATATTAGCTGTTACTTGTAAAAGCATCATCTGTTCACATGATTAAACATTAAAGGTTCAAAGTGTCAGGCCTATTTAAGCTCACATTCATTATATACAGTAGATAGCCTAATCGCCCATAGGATCAAGGATATGGGATCTAGACTATTAAATCTGGCAGCCTATAACATCTGTCTTCTTAAATAGCAACAGTAACCTACAGCCTATGACAAGAGCCAGATCTCATAATTATGACAAAGTGTAAAACAATTAATGGTAATAGGCTAGTCACCACTCCAGCACATAAATATAAACTTTGACAAGAAACAGGTTATAGGCTACGTAATGTGGCCATGGATACAGTGTGGGTGCCCTTTTTAGCCTAGGCTATATTTGTTTACATTTTGGTACAGTAAAGGGGATTTTCTTATAGGAACCTAACAAAACGTGTTGTGCTGAGTAACACTCGTCACGGGTTCTGCATTTGTTTCTACTACAGTGCTAGTACTAAAATCAAATACCAGGAATGTGAGGGGGAAGAGGGTGAATGCACGCAGAGCAGTCGCCGGTAACTGGTTAAATGTCTGCGTCTTCACAACTCAAGCATTAGCATTAGCATTACAAGCACTGTGTGTAAACACAGCTGACTGCCTGTGTGAGAGAGGAGCAGCCCCTCCCTCCTATAAACAGACCGCACAGAGAAACAAAGCAGGACAGTTGGCATCAATCCCTGAGGCTACGCATGGCGATGCTTAAGGAAAGTACAGGATGTACCGCTCGTTAGGTTCCCAGAGTGGAAATGGAGCATAAATATGCTGAATCACCTATTAGCAGTTCATTTGCTACCCAGCCTACTGCTGGATGTGCCGTCAGAATGGCATAGCCTACTGGGGGGAAAAAAAAATCTAAAAATCGCAGTGCTGCTTAGGCAGGTTCCAAAGCTGCTGCTCAGTACAGGTACAGGATACAGCAAGTTACACTGTAGGCAGTGACTTTGAAGGCAGCTTGCGGTCTGTATTTGCTCACGTTTTAGAACACTAAGTGCTGTACGCCAAATGAGGTACTGTATTAAGAGTTCACTTTTGGCTACGTTAAGAAGTTCAGCTTCTGTGCGCGTTAAACTCTCACCAATCAAAATACTGCATTTGTCTCGCTCATCTTCTTTTCTCAAAATCTGACAAGGCCACTGAAGGTAAAATAAAATTGAAAGTGATCACAATTAAATCTTCGCTCTAGCCAGCAAAGCGGTAAACCATGGAGAAATATTAAAACCACTATGTTCAGAAGTATAATCTGTTTGCACTGATTCTGTGTCCTGGGATGGATGTGTGTACAAACAACGCACAGAGGACAGACACACCAAGGGTTCCGGCGAGCTACAACAGTAGGTCCGTTTCTGTGTACGGCTACACAGCTTTGTCCCAAACCACAGAAAATTGCTACTGTCAAGTTCTATTTAACAAAACATTGTCACATGACATTTCCTTCCTTCATCATAGTATGAACACTAAGGGGATATTTACTGAACCTGTAGCATGTTACTGACAGATGCACAACAAACTGTTTTTGTTAATTTGAATACGCCTCAGTTTCAAACCTGCTGCCTGAAGGCTGTTGCGCACGTGGACCAAGAGGAAGTGTAGAAGAAAGTCTAAGTTTATAATGACCGAACTTGAATATGGTTGAAGAAATCAAGAAGCACATGTTGGAGCCACCTGTCAGTCAAATCATCTTGTATTTCATTCAGTAACTGAGGCACAGTTTGACCTGAAAGCCTGTACAAGTCCTTCACGTTCTCCTCTGGTGAGCGGTGCAATTTACAAACACCCTCTCCCTTCTGAAACGTTCTAAACTCTAATGAGATCTCAGATGACTAACAGCTGCCACGCTGACAGCAGGGCCACAAGTTTTACACCCGCTTTCTCCTGACGTTAAATTGGTGGTAAATCAGGTGCTGAGTCTTTGTATAAATTTCCATTCTCCTCCCTGATTTTTGCCTGTCTGAACGGAACGCCTGAAAATAAATTTGAGCTTTTCTTCCGTTTCTCCGCTGCAAACGCTCACTGTGACTGCTTAGCACCAAAAAATAAGTCACAAAACCTTAGTAAATATCCCCATTAGAGCTTCAGCTGGACTTCAAACTGCATGTGTGGTTGAATGTCACTAGCTGAAATATTTTCCCTCCGTTGTAATATCCACCTACAAACTGTTTCATTACCACCGGCCAAACTAAATTTGTACAGTCGCAAGAAAAAGCATGGCACTGTTTTCTGCATAAACTGGTCATGAAATCTGATCTTCACCAAAGTCGCATTTATCAACACAATATTTCTAATCTTATCAAACACAAACAGCCATGATCTTTCATGTCTTTGCTGAGGACACCCATTAAACATACAAAGTGATGGTGGACAAAGTAATGGCAACACCGGGCTTCTGATGTCACTAAACAACAACTGGAGTCAGGCGTTATTCAAACCTGGAGTTCAGTCAATGAAACGAGAATGGAGGTGTGGGTTAGAACGACCTTGGCTTATAAAAACACTCAGACATTGTCAGTGTGCTGTGCACAAGCAGCATCAGCTGAT